AAAAACAAAACACTTTTTACAAGATTGTTCCTGTACATTATTTGTTGTTTTGTGATTGGCTAATTTCACTCAGCATAATGTCCTCCAGGTTCATCCATGTAGTGAGGTGTTTTGCAGATTCATCATTGTTCTTCAGCATTGTGTAGTATCCCATTGTGTGTATGTACCAAAGTTTGTTTAGCCATTCTTCTGTTGATGGACATTTAGTCTGTCTCCATCTTTTTGATGTGTCTCTTGTAGACAGTGTATTGAAAGATCCTGCTTTCTTATGCATTATGCTACTCTCAGTCTCACGACCTGTGCATTGAATCCTTTTACGTTCAGTGTAATTATCAGTAGGTGTGAATTGATTGCTGTCATTTTGCTGTGTGGTTTCTTTGTTCCACATAATTTTCTGCACTGAGTTCATTTTGTTTGTGGGTTTTCTTCTCATTTTAATTTTTGTTGCGTTAATGTTTACTAAACTGCAATCAATTTTTTTTTTTTTTTACTTTAAGAATGCTAAGCATGAAATATTTTTATTAGTTTATATTGGGTTGTTAATTTATGATCTGTAAAATTTTTTGTAGTTGGTTATGGGGGAAAACATTTATATATGATTTTTTACTTGAATATTATATGACAGTATATCAGAAAATTAACAATATACTCAAATTCAAGCAATTTATGGCTTTTGAATTTTTGTAATTTCAGATTCTTTGTATACTTCTTTTAGCTTGTAAAATTATTTAATTTACCAAGTTTTCACATAATTATCCAAATAAGGCAATGTGTATTTGGTATAATTCTCTGCACCTTTCAGTTGTACTAATTACCTTACCCATATACTTACATTTTTTAAATTTGCAAAATAATGTGTTTGTTCACATTTTGTAACAAAATAGTGAAGAACCAGAGTTATGGGAGGTCTGAAGCCCTGCTGAAAGAATTAGAGGATGGGTCTCCTGATCTGAACCTCATTACCTTTTCTGCCCTACAGCACTTGACAGCTAACTGTACAGGTCTTTGAATGTTTGCATATTTTGGACTTTTATCTATAAACTCCTGTCAGATTTCTATTACACACTTCTTGGTTAGAGCTTCCTGACATTATTTGTTGCCTTTTCTTCCTGCTTAAGTCAGAATCTAGAATGATTAGTAAACTGTTTAAAATTTAGTTCATGTATAATAATATGTTTTACCATGGAGAGAATATTAAAGCTTTTCACTTCGAAAAGTAATACACAGAGTTTCAGCCTGATCATTGATATTGTGCTATGTTGTTGTTGAGTACCATGGAGTCGTCTTCGACTCATAGTGACTCTGCACAGGGTTTCCGAGGCTGTAAATCTTTACGGGATCAGAACACCTCATCTTCCTCCCGTGGAACCGCTGGTAGTTTCTAATTGCTTACTTTGCGGTTGGCAGCCCGACTCGTAACTACTATGCTACCAGAGCTCCATGTGGTATAAAATAATAATTTTATTTCTGGGTGTGATACTTAATTTTTTTTCTTAAATCTTTCTTATAAGGCTGGATTTTTCATCTCTAGACTAATGAATTCTGTGAAGTTCTTGTTCCTGAATTGATTTCCTTTCTTTGGTGCTATTCTGCTTCTGAGTCATGGCTGCTGTTGCTAAGCACTGTTGAGTAGGTTCTGACTCATAGTGACCTTGTGGAGGTTTTTTAAGCAGCTGGTGCATTTGAATTGCCAACCTGTAGAGAGCAGTCCACTGCTTATTCTGCAGTGCCATCAGGACTCCTAAGTATACTTTTTGTTAAGTGTAGTCAAGTCCATTCTGACTCATAATGATCCTGTATAGGCTTTCCAAGGAATGAGTTTGAACACCAAGTTGGTAATAAGCAGGCCAGCCTTTATCCTACAGCGCTACATCATGACTGTGGCCTTTGTTGTTGTTGCTAAGTGTTGAGTCGGTTGCAACTCATAATGACCATATTTAGGGTTTATGTGGAGCAGCCAGTGAGTTTGAGCTTCTGACCTTGAGATTCAAACAGATCTTGAGGTCCAGTGCTTATCCTACAGCGCCACACCTAGGGGAAAACGTTACCAAAAGGACCTCTTTTGATCAATTCTTCACCTCTTAGTAACTAGTCTTCTTAAGAATGCTACAAAATATCTGAGGTTTATTTAGTTTTCTCAGTTAAATAAAGGGAACAGCAGGTAGTGGTTACGAATCGGGCTGCTAACCTCAGGGTCTGCAGTTCGACACTACAGCTGTTACGCGGGAGAACGATGAGGCTTTCTGCTTCCGTAAAGATTTACAGCCTCAGAAACCCTGTGCAGGGTCGCTATGAGTCGGAATCGACTCCACAGCACATAATAACAACAACAACAAATCCCATCAGGTTAGTAAGGATTAAATGTGGTAAACTCAACTTCGACAAAGTTGAAACACCATAAACATTAGCGTGCCTCAGTATGGGATAATTCAGTTCTCTGCCATTTCACCCACACCAGTTTGTTTCAGGACAGCTTTATAAATGGTGCCACATTCTTCTTTTGTTTCTATAATAAAATGATTACATACATTTTCCTAACTTTTGCTGTTTAAAACTATACCAATTGTTTTTTTACACTAATTATTTTTTAAATATTGAGCAAATATATTATGTGAAATTACAATTTGCCTAGTGTTAAATTTGTTTTTATTTGCATTCATAATCAGGTACTTCTAAGATGATTATGTATCTGAAAGGTTTTATTTTGCTTTCATACATACTTTTAAAACAGAATCTGGTAAACCTGATAGAGGATAATTTCTTAGGAACAGCAGAGGTTTTCAAGACATTCTCTAATTTCCTGCTCAGTGTCTATATGGAAATACTGTTTTTGTTTTTTGCATATCAGAGATGCCAATGATGGGAGCTCTCTGCTCTGGATATAAAAAGAAAACCTAAGGAAAAGCAAAGCAGAAAATCAATAGAAAGGGACAAAATTGGGAAATGAGTACCCCCCCCCTCCAGCACCCCTAAATGAAATCTATCAAGGAATTGCTAGAGGTTTAGTTCATGAAAGAGTGCATCCCTATAGATTTATTTTTAATAAAGGATACATTTTATTTCCAGGGCTGAAGGGTTTTTAGTGATTTGTGCACCTGTCGATCATGAACAAAGAGGGAAAACAGACAGTATAGAGCTGCAGAGCTCTATTTCTGTTTTCCCCGTAATAGTTTTACTCTGCAGTGTTTCCTCAGTCTGAGCTACCAAGACAATGGTGTTTCACAGCCCTGGTTCAGGAAGGGCCCAGTTTCTCCCACCCTGTCATCAGCCATGCCAGTAGTCTAACATTTTGTTAATTAATCACTCTGATTGGTTATAATTGATTCAAACCTGACATAAATCAAATAAATCTTCTTTTCCTTCATCTTTCCTATCAGCAGTGCCCAATTGTCTCTTACTGACTCTGGAGATCATTCTTTTGTTTTTTAATCCTTTCTTATAATACGTTATGTCTCTCTTAAATTGTGAATACTACAGAGGTTTCTGTATCTACAAAGATACAATTTATCGTATTAAGTGAATATTTTTACTTGTAAAAATACAGGCAAGTATGAATATGTTTAAACTTTGTGGAATATGTGTTAATTGTGACATATGTGTTAATGCTTACCTTTTATAAAACATTAAAATTATTTAAAATATTTTCTTTTGAAAGCTGGCCAGGGATACTTTGCCCTGATCCTTTTAAAGGGAAATATGTGGCCTATGACCTGGATGGAAATGTTGAACAGTATCACATAGAATTCCTGGGTGATCCCCATTCAAGATCATGGATAAATGCAACATTTGTTGGACATTATAGTATTACATTAAAGGTATGTAGGGTAATAGCAGAACTTATTCTTCTTGTACTTGTTTTTCATTATGGCCATTTTTGTCTCAGATTTCTAAACGTATATAATTTCTTACTTCTAGATTTTTATGTACAAAATAACATATGTTATTTAGATTCAAATATTTGTATTTTAAAGCATTTTCTGTCAAAGGAAATATGGGTATTAAAAATAGCTATGGGAGTTTAAATTTTATTTTTCTATTGGCAATATACTATAAATCAACTGAAGACATTGTATAATTGCCTTATGAAAAATTTTTAAGATTATCATTTGATAATTTTCTCACTCTCTTGGGAAGATTTGTAGTTGTAGCCCTGGCTCAGAGTGAAAAGTTAATTTTATGAAATGCAGTCAGTTTTTTAAATTTTATACAGAATATTTTTATTATACTCCTTCAGTATTTTTTTCACTCTTTTTAAACTTTAAGTGCCAAGTTACCATTAATAAATCAACTGGGTTCTCAGGTTGGTGAGAGTAGGTGAACTGGACCTATTTCTAAAGGTTTGTGTTAATCAGATAAATCAGTTCATTTAGCTGTATTTTATAATATTGATACTTCTCATTGCAAACATTGCTTTCATTAGAAACTTCATAAGAAATTGATATCAGAAATGTGTATACCATTGACTAAATCTGAATGGTTTCTATTTTATATAGAGAAATATACACACTCACTATACAGGTATATTTAAAGCATACAATTTAATTCACAGTATAATTTTGTTGTTGTTAAGTGCTATCAGTTCTGACTAATAGCAACCCTGTATAGGGTTTCCAAGAAGCAGCTGGTGAGTTTAAACTGCTGACTTTGAAGTTCAAACTGACCTTGCTGTCCAGTGTTTTATCCCACTGCACAATACCAGGAGTCTTAATTAAATCTGTGGAAATCTGAAGTACTTTAAAGTGGTTTTGTATCATTACTTTGGCATAAATAGTATCTTTGTTTCATTTAACTTTAAACATTTAAACATTTAACTTTAAAGCAGCTGGAAAAGAAGGCTGTGTTAGTAAAAATATTTAAGTATGAAATAGCACCACATATATCCATTTCTGGGTAGTTGTGAGCCAGTCATTTTAATGTGAAACATCCTCTCTGCTCTCACATTTTGGATGGGATCCCAGACACTTCTGCTGGCAGCCACCACTGACAGGAAGGTTGCTCTTCCTCTTGTGCCCTCTCGCCACCCCTTTGAAAGAGTAGTGAAGCATTGTTCTAGCTCTTCATGAAGCAGACCTTAGAATCTCATATATTTTTAAATGTTACCAAGGTAAGCATTACTAAGAAATTATATTTAAATGTAAATATAAAGATAAAAGTATGTGTATTTTAAATGTTTGAACTAGTATTACTATCAGAATTTGATTTCTTTCAGGTTTAATTTGGTTATCTGATTCTAGTAAGCATTCAATTAATAGTTGTGTCACGCACGGAAAAAAAAAAAAAAAAAAAAAAAAAAAAAACTGATGCAGAATAAACCCAAACTCAGGAATCAGGAGCCACATGTTTTAACCTTCAGAAAGCATTAAATTAAACTTAGTAAATGTTGCAGAAAGATCAGGAATTTGGAGTTGCTTAAAAGCAAGGATGAGAGCAAGAGTTAAAAAGGAACAAGTGCTCTAACCTTAACTGTCCAGGTGCTCTTGGTAGATAATTTCCTAAGTGCCCACAAGCTGGGCAGGCTCTCTCCTGTTTTGTCATTCAGGGCACCTATCTGCAGATTCTGATTCAGGGACTCTTCAGTTCTTTGCCCTTTGCTTTATATCTGTGTCCTTTTCCTTACTTGCTCCTTTGGAGCTGACATAATAATGGTGCCTTCACCTGTGACCCTCTTCATTCAAGACTGAAGTTTCAGGTCTCTTTTACATCAAATTCTGCTGGCACATGCCAGACTATCCCACTATCCTTTTGTGCTCTGACTCCCCATGCCGGACTATTTGAGAATCTCTATTTTCCAAAAAGGGAAGACTCCCAGATGATTGAAGCCAGATTGCCCCAATGTACTCAAGAAACATAAGAAGGTAGACTTAGGGTGTGGCACTGCAGGATAATGCCCTGGAACACAAGATCAGTTTGAAACACAAGGTCAGCAGTTCAAACCACCAGCGACTCCTCAGAAACACTATACAGGGTCACTACGAGTCAGAATCGTCTCGATGACACTTAACGACAACAGAAACAATGAAAGCCAATAGAAAAATGGTTAAAAAAAATAAATGATTGTTGTTGTTAAGTGCCATTGTATCAGTTCTGACCCATAACGACCTGGTATAGGGTTTCTGAGGCATGACTGTGAGCTTGAACTACCGACCTTGCATTCAAACCAACTTTGTAGTCCAGCAAAGCCACAGTACCACACCAGGACTCCAAATAAATGATGCATATAAGAAATAGGTTAAAATGAACAGCTTCAAACTGTGTATTTCCCAGGTACAGCTAGGTCTTACCTGTCCCTTGGAGATTGCTATGTATGGTATGATTTGTTCCCCCCCAAAGTTATGCTGAAGTCATAACCCTTGTACCTGTAAATATGAGCCTGTTTGGAAATAGTGGTTTTCTCTGCCACTCTAATGAAGTCATGTCAGATTTTAGGAAAGAAACAGAGTAGACACAGCCACAAAGAGGAAAGGTGCCGTGTTAAAATGGAAGTTGATGCATCTTCAAGCCCAGGAACATGAAAGATTGACAGTAGCTAGTAGAAAGTGACAGAGACCAAGACCTTCCACTGCAACCAACACTTTCAGTTTGGACTGTTGGCCTCCTGAAGTATAATGCAATGCATTCTCTTCTTAAGGCCACCCACTTCTGGTAATTTTTGCTGTCGTAGTACTAGGTAACTCCCATGAAGATGAAGATAGTATACATTTCAGCTACAGTCCTGTTGCCTAGATTTCCCAAAGACTTACTCTTTTTTTTTTTTAGTTCTTTCTTTTTTTAAAGTTTTTTTATTGTGAATTGAGTGATAGTTTACATGGGAGAGTATCGGTTTTAAACTCATTGTTTCATTGCAATGGTTACAATCTCCTCCGTGCATCATCATTCAACAGTATTTGCTTCTATTTCCTCTGTTGTTTTTTTTTCTGGTGGTAGAGGGGCATGGTAGGGGATGTACACAAAACCACCTGAGAATGTATAATCATTTAAACAACCAAAGGGCACATTCTGCAAGCTTGCCTCCTGGCTGCCAGCTCACAGCCTTTCTCTTTCCATGAGTCTAGAATCTTCAGTTGCTCTATCTTTCCAGGTCCTCATCTCTGCCTCTATCTCTGGTGTCACTGCTTCTCTGGATAGAAGCACATGCCACTCGTGCTCTTCCTTGATGGTCCTAAGGTCTACTGTTCCTGGACTGTAAGATTAACTACTCACCCCTTTTTGTTACAAAACTTCTACCTTTACCGT